GGATACTACAGAAAATTCATCGACCAGTTCTCAAAAGTAGCAAAGCCGTTGACACGACTGTTACAAAAAGAAGTAGTATTCGTCGAGTTAATATTAAAAAGTCTTCGGGACGCGAGCAGTTGGTCGACCCATGGATTGCATTTTCCGTTTGCTGTAACTCTGGAGAACTGGCTAGGTATTAAGGAGTATGTAACAGTTAGCGTTTATTGTAAAGATGCGAGTGTGTACACTATTGTCAAGTTTCCTCTGGTAAAATCTGTAGAGTATAACGTATTTAGGATAGTGCCACTACCGATGCACGACCACGATAACGTGTTTACGGTAGCTCAGATCAAAATCAGATGATCGCGGTGGACGTAAACAGGCAGACATATTCAATCGTAACGAGAAGTCAGTTGGATCGATGCAAACATGTAAAAAACGATTACGTGTGTGATAACGTCGAGTCAGTGTACAAAGTGCACAAAGATGCGCCTTGCGAGGTGCAAGCTTACATTAGCGAGTCAGGAGACTTTTCAAATTGTAAGGAAGAAACGGTGGTGACAAATCACACGGTGTGGATAAAATTAGAAACAATGCGTGTATGGTTATATTCGACCCTGACAAGCGAGTCAGTACTAATTTCCTGCGAAAATCAACAGGAAAAAAGCGAGGTCGTGGACGGAGTTGGAGAGATAGAGTTGGCGGAGCAATGCAAGCTGATAACTTCAAGTATATCGATTCACGCGAGTAAAGTGATAAACGGTGTACAGATCAACACGTATTTGCCGCGGTTCAATCTGTCGAAGGTCAAAACAGTAAGTCGCGCGGCTAAGGGCAAACCGGTAGAAGTAGAAAGTGTAACAAAAAATAAGACGCAATTAAAAAGTTTGCGGACGGAAGTAACGGAATTGACGGACGAGATGGATAAAAGTACCGGCTCATTCGACGAAAATCCGCACTTTATCTATCCAACGACGTCAGGCGTTACAGTAATAGTAATAATCATAGGAGTAATCGTTTATAAGTTAGTCAAAAGTAAGGAAAAAAGAAAGTTAGCACGTGTCGCTGTAGAGTTACGCAATGCGGAACGGCGAGAAAAATTGAAGAATACTCGTGCACAAAACGCTGAAACGGTAGCGTTGTAAGTGTCATGTAGTGTCATAATTGTAATCAAATATTGTAAAATAATAGTGATTGTAATCAAGTATTGTAAGACTGTAATAACGGAAAATGTCGGTTGCACACATTTTCCTTTTTCCCGAAGGGGGGAAATGTTGTGCGGTTTTGAAAATAAAAGTTAAGTAGGTGAGGCCATTGAGCAATGTGATGAGATATCACTGTCATTGCCCAATGACCTGTTTAGGCTGTGGGGCAACAGCAGTTCTAGGAAGAACTGCTGGTTGCCACAGGGTGCGACACATCGTCGCATTGTCCGAAGTGCAACGCAGCATGTGTCGCCACCGGCACCGGTAACTAGCACGGCCGTTGCTAGGACTGGTAGGCCTGCTGAATCGGCGCGATCGATCTACTATAAATCGATCGCGCGGATGGAGCAGAGCAGAGTCTGTGAACCGACTGCTAGCTCACTGTGCGGCTCCGCAAGCCGGAGAGTTTACCGCAGTGAGAAACAGCCGTGTAAGGAACATTGTGAAGATCAGGAGCAATAAAGGATATTTTAATAAGTTCAAGTATAGAACTTAATCTCCTAACCATCCAACCTCCTCGACATCCAACATTTTTATATGTCACGAGAAGTTCGATCTCCTTACTTTTACTTCGTGGGTCAGGTTATGTTTCAAATTGCAAATAACGTCCAACCGTAAAAAAACTATTCTCTTGAGCGGATTCCCTCCCAATGAACCGTAAAAATCGGAACCACTTTTTCCATTCGCGCGCTATCAAGTCCGATCTCCTACTCTTACTTCGTGGTTGCAACCTCTGGCTGGCTAACACCGAGAGCACCGAAGTAGTGGGAGCCACTGGAAGCACGCATACAAGCGAGAACCGCCGTCCGTGTGCGTGACGTCACGCTCGGCACGCAGAGATGCCAGTTTGCGGACGCTAGCAATATGCAGCAGCAAGTGGAGGGGACACGCACACAAGCGAGCAGCTTGTGTGTGTGTGTGTATGTGTGTGTGTAGTATACTCGTCGCAGCTGAAAAATTAATTTAAGCACACAAGTGTATACACTTGTATACAAAAGAAGAAAAGATTAATTTAATATATTGCGTTTTTATATATCTAAATAATAAAATATAATCCTATATATGTCCGGTTTTTCAATATACATGTATAATTATAATGACATCGGTAATTACAATACAATTGTAAAGGTATACATATACATGTATATATATACACACACTTTTGAATTACAATATTAATTTTTATACTGTGAAGACGTAATGATTCACTTTAGTACACACACACACACACACACACACACACATATATATATATATATATATATATGCATTTGTGAAAGAGGCCAATAGTTTTACGTTTTGAGACACAAATAGTCAAGGAAAACATTGACATTATCGATACGACGCAGTTGTGGATCAGATGATTGCTACAGTTAGTTAGGATGGCGCCCGTTGGCGCTACTTACCGCTAGGGAATACCGTCCCTCTTACCCCTAGCCCCCCGCGTCCACGAAACAATTCAGTGACCGCGACTGTACATTGCTCCACAAATATTAATGGAGCCGCGCACCTAATTAAAAAGCATGGCGGCTCAGACTTACTTATTCCGTACTTGTCCCTACTCTACCTTCTGAATCGATTAGTAAAGGCACGGCCACACTGTTACAGACGTGGCTTACATTCCAATTTCACAATAGGTTTGTTTTACTTGCATACACGAAAAGTGTGAAGTGTACACCTTACACTTTTAATACACTACACTTTTTGGAAGTGGGGGAAACATTGTGTAAAGTGTGTATGCTTTTCAAGAAAAACGCCAGAGTGTAACAAAAGTGTACTACAGTGACACAGTGAAAATACTACACAAACAAAATAATTTTTAATAATTTAACATATAATTTAATACTATATTTA